TCCGACTCGAATATCAATAGCAATGCAGGCCTCAGAGGCATCGACGAAGACGAATAAAGTAGACACATCAAGATAGCGAGGGGGGAGAATACGATCAGATTGCAGGAAAGAATTACATGCAGTAATATTACTCAATATAATAGATGCCGTCTCTTCGTCCAGAATGTCCATACCATCTTCGAAGTCCTTCCTCCTCTGCTTCAGTCGCTCATGAGCTAACCGAGCCGCCCATCTGAGCTCCAAGGACACTTCTGCGGAAAGACCCATGGGGTCGAAGAACTTGCCGAATGCTGATCTCAGGGCAGACTCCGTGACCTTGGATTCCTTCGCCAATTCTATCTGCCGCAAACGCACATCGATAACGTCAACTCGCTCGCCACAGATCCAGTCGTAACCGAGCCACCCTCCTGTTCTGAACTTTTCGCTGAGAATCTCCTCCTTAGATACCTCTCGACCTATACAGTCTTCATCCATGTCGAGATTGGACATTCGCTTGTCCTGGTGGACTTCGAACCCCCGCTCTTCTAATGCGGGAACCACCTCCCGACGAATCTTCGACACCTCCGAGCAACTGTCCCCTCGCAGAATGACATCGTCGACATAGAAGCAGATAGCTTCGGCACCGCCCTGTTCGGTCCCCCCGATCTGTTTGAGGATCTTCCCCAAGACCGAGGAGAGGGCCCAAGGGGACCAATTCGTCCCGAAAGGGACATGGATCCAGCTTATGATCCTCGACACGACGCACATCCCCAACCACTTCACATCCGATTCATCGATGTGGACCGACCAGAAGGCCTTCTTGAGGTCCTCACAATCAACTCGCTTTGATGCTCGCCACTCTAGGATCCGTGACTGTAGGTCCATGTCCGCGGCCTCCTCGTCCCCTTCTTTATTCATGAAGTTGTTAAGCTCTCGAGCGTCGATGCAAATACGACAGCAAGTGGACTTTCGCTGATTGGCGAAGACCGGAACACCACACATATAGTGGTAAGCTCATTTCCTCGGGTCCTCCCCCAGTGGAAGTTCCTCGACCCCCCCCCCCCCCCGGACTTCAAGAGCTCGTCCACGGCCGCTTCATACGCTGCTAGCTCTTCAGGTCTCTTGGTCAGCCTCTGTGTGATCTTCAAGTCTCGGCCTCTGATGGCATCATAATTCTTCTTGATCTACGATCATCAATCCAAGGGACCTTCACGCTGGCCACACTCTTCGTGTCCGGAGAGATCGGCTTCTCTCGACTGTATTAGAGCCTATCTCCCTCGCCTCCTGCACTCCCCCGTAAGGGGTGACCTCAGGCTCATCGAAGAGTAGGTAGTCGTTACCCGCCATCACCCAAACACAGTTACCCAGCACCCATCGGGGTAGAACCAGCTCCCAGTAAAAAGAGTCTAAGACGTAGGCCTCGACTATCCTAGCCTGATCACCGAGTCCAACGGCCAGAGCCTCCAGCACCCCCTGAATCTTCACTGCTCCTCCATCGAGCAACTTCACCGATATGTCACCCTGCTTCAACTCCAGGCCTGGCGGCTGTGCCTTCAACCCACGGTATAAAGTACTGGACACGAACACGTCTGTCGCTCCTGTATCCAGGAGCGCGACCGTAGTGACCCTGCCTTGAAGACTTACTGCCACGGTCGGCAACCCATTGGGCGTGTATGTGACAGCCAATCGCTTCGTCGTAGGTTACCTGAGCTTCGGGCCCTCTCGAAGCCTAGACCTGCAACTTTCGATGTTCTCAACCTCGATATCGTGGTAAGCTTTCTCGACGTTCTCGATGCTGCTCTCGAAGCCCTTACCCTCGATGTTCTCAATATTGCTCTCGAAGCTCTTACTCTCGAAGTTCTCAATGTTGCTCTCGAAGCTCTTAGCCTCAACGGACTCGACACCCTTGCTGATCTGGCATAACGCAACAATATCCGGTCCGATTCGCTCTTGACACTGTTGACTCGATAGTCTCTCATCCAAAGAGGTATGCGCCCAATGGCTATCATCAAAAACGCCGGTCTCGACTGCAAGGATATGACATTCCGCCGAGCTACTACTCTCCTCCGATGAGGAGCCGTCTAACTGGCACACTCTCTGCTGTGCCTCACTCAGATTGACCTGTGGATTGCTATCAACTGTCTTCTGCGCGAACTTATCTTGCTTAGCCAACATAACCCGCCCACCAATCTGCTTGCCGTTCAATAATTGTATCACTCTCTCAGCTTCGACATCGGTCTTGAGGTTTACGATGGCAGTGCCCTTCCCGGGAAACATGGTAACATACACCGACAGTCGCCATTAGAGAGCTCACGATCAAACCCTTCGTCTCTCGAAAG